TTTCTCAAGTATCCGATTACTTATCATATATAACCTGCTTGGGTAATCGCTAGGCGAATCTTTAGTTTTACTGAACTTAAAAACATATAGAGCTTTAGGTCTAAGAAGCTTTCTATACAATTGTGAGATAATACTTTAATTTGTTTTCTATTTTATACGTGTATATTTAAATTGACCTTTCTTATTGTAATTATTAATGTTTTTAGAGCAATCAACAATTTACCATGGTATACTGCATTTCTTGAACTCTAAAACCACAATGGCACCAAACTTTTGAATTTCCTGATGATGGCATTCCTCTATCTTTTCACGTGAAAGATCATAGGACATGTTTACTTCAAGGGTTACTAAACGGTGTTTATTAAGACTCACGTTAATAAGCAATGTTGTAAGATCGTTTTTACTTCAAAGGGTTTAAAACACTGTTTAACATTAAAATGTCCAAAATAACCTTATACATATACAGACACACAAATATTCATGAACACTATAATATAATATGTGAGGTCACCTCGTATGTGTACCCATACCCCCTTACCCCCTACAACCCGCCCACCCCCGCTTACCCCCACCCCTAACCCCTAACCCCGTACTCCTACCCCTACCCTACCATACCCTACCTTACCTCGACCCCACCCCACTCTTACCCCCACCTTACCCTATCATACCCAGCCCTACCCCCTATCCTACCTTACCCCAACCTCGACCCCACCCTACCCACAATCCCCACCCTTTACACCTAACCATGACCAAACCCCACTCCCTGCACAATTTGCCCTTACCTTGGCCCCACCCCGACCCCACCCCTATCATACCCCCTACCTCGGCCCCACCTAGATCCCGGCCCCACCCTATCGCCATCCTACCCCCCACGTAGGGCGTGGTGGGTCGGGGGTGGGACCAATGTGGTAGAGGGTTGGAGTAGGGTGGTAAGGGCCTAGGGGTTAGGTGTAGGATGTGGTCGGGATGGGGCCGATGGGGCACGGTGTTAGGGCCTGGGGGTAAGGGGTAGGGTTTGGCAAAAGTGGGGTGAAGTTGGGGTAAGGTAGGGTAGGAGTAGGAGTAGGGTAAGACATGGTGGGGGTCGGGTTGGGGCCGATGTGGTAGGGGTGGGTGTTGGGTGGTGGGGTCGGGGTTGGGCTGATGTGGTAAGGTGTGGGTACGGTAGGAGTGGTAAGGGGCCTAAGGTGGGGTCAGGGTTATAAGGTTGGGTAGGTGGGCTAGGGGTAAGGTGGGGTCGGGGTAGGTAGGGTAGGGGTAGGAGTATGGTAGGATAGGATAAGGTGGGGTCGGGGTGGGGCCGATGTGGTAGGGTTTGGGTAGGGTGGTAAGAGCCTAGGGGTTGAGGTAGGGCAGGGGTGGTAAGGGGCCTAAGGGGTGGGGGTGGGTCGGGGTAAGGTAGGGTAGGGTAGGGGGTGGGTCGGGGTAAGGTAGGGTAGGATAGGTGGGGTCGGGGTGGGGCCGATGTGGTGGGGGGTAGGTTGGGGTTGGGTGGTAAGGGCCTAGGGTAGGGGGTAGGTTAGGGGAGGGCCTAGGTGTGGGGTCGGGGTAAGGTAGGGGTTTGGGGTCGGGATTGGGTGGGGCCGAGGTAGGGGTGGGTGGGGGTGGCAGGTAGAGGGGTAACAATAGAGTAAGGGCAAGGTGTAAATTCGGAAACTGAAAAAGCTTAAAGTGTCGCTTAATTAATGCATGGGGGTGGTATGCTAAGCAACGTGCGTGTTTACTTCACCTGACTTACTAACCTAACTGTGACTTTAGCAGCGAAGTAAACACATCCATAATCTTTTTATCCCAAAAAGAAACCTAGGTGATTGTGTTACAGACTGGTGAGAAGAAGTATATATTATATCCGAGAGGGGTGCAAGCATAGACTCAGGAGGTGTTGTCCTGGGTTATCTAACAGATTGGACCAGGAGCTTTTCTTTTACTTCAAGGCTAGAGCACTGCACAACTTAAACTAAATGTACCGGGAGTCTGGGACCACAACTGAGCATAGATAGGCAAGTAATTTTTAAGAAAAGGGCATAGCGCGCAAACGCAGCATATGAATTATCACCCACTGGTCAAGGGCATTTGACTAATCTTACAGTTCTCGAATCAGCTCTTAGTAGGGGGTCTGCCACACAGGGAGTTCGGACATTAAAAGTCTCCTTTCTTTATCTAATAAGAAGCTAGGAATCTGTCCCTAGCGCTAACAGGTAGGTAGAGTGGAATATTTGGTCAAGATTCCTTGCTTATTGATTAGTTCTAAAATTCCTACAAGACAGACTCAATCAGCATATACCTCGGTAGAGGAAGAAGCAACAAGAAAAAGGAAGCGCTAGCTAGGTAGTACGGAGTATAAGTTAAAAAGACAGCTTTAGGTCTAAGAAACTTTCTATACAATTGTGAGATACTACCTCCGTCCCTTAAAGCTTTGCCAAGTTTGATCGGCACAGAGATTAACAAAGTAAAAACTGTGTGGTTGTTGTTTGTGCAGAGGAGAGAGAATTAATTGGAACCACAAATTCTTTACTAAAAAGAGAAAATTGCAAAGTTAGTGGGACATCAAAAAAGGAAAGTTGGCAAAATTTTAAGGGACGGAGGGAGTAATACTTTAATTTGTTTTCTATTTTAGATATATAAAAGATCAAACTGATGCAGACAGATGGTTGATGAGGATAACTATGCTATGTGCTTTACTCCCTATTAGTGATAAGGTATTTCTAATCCTAGCATACAAATTACTTCTAAGAATTGTTTTAGTATGAAAATGAAGTACCTATTCATAGATTTGCAACTATTTTTTATTGCAAGGGTTTATTTTACTGTTTTTTATAAAATGGAAATCTTTCTATTTCCTAATAGTTGGGCTATTATGATTTAATTTCATATGAATCCCTTGTTCTTTGCAGAACTCTATTAATACAGCTTATTGTGGTTCATTTTGGTTTAATGTGATGATTGTTTTATTGTTGTCATACTTGCTTTATTATTTAATTTGTTGGTGCAGGTTTTGTTTAGTTAATTATTTCTTGCAAAGTAGAGAATGCATACAAAGAAAGGCTGAGTAAGGAGCAACCATAAGCTTTTTATCTCTTATGCATTGTTTGGTTGTCTGAGGACTTTATTGATACCGAGCTCTCTCGGTTTATTGCTGCTGGTAAGCTACATTGCAAGATTGACAAAGTTGATGCAGTGTTAGAAACAAACCGCCCTGATGCTAAGAATGCCCTATACCAGGCCACCCTTAAACAAGGGGATTTCTTGTTGAACCAAATCCAAAAGCTTTCGTGAGTTATTGATCTTTAAGGCATTATCCTCCTGCTCTAGCACACCCATTCCATATGTAATCATTCACCTCCCCTTGAACATCGAAGTATGGTTCAATTTTATTCTGTAACAAAAGAAAAGACTCAATATTATTCTTTCTGTTTTTGTTTGTTTGTATATTTATTTGTAATGCATTCAGAATTGTGCTATGCAAACGTATTACCACTTATCTTACTCTTCTAAAAAAGATGCACTAATCAAGTTCAAGTAGTAAAACAATAAATTCATAGTTACTCAACCTAAATTGAGGAATTAATATCCCTATAATGATCTTGGGAATTACCACGAACGTGCAACGCGCGTTACAAAACTAGTTATTTTAAGGGAAAATGGAAACTAATAATCCAACCTTTTAGCGGTCTTCTTTTAATAGTCCCACCTTTTCGTTATTCATGAATAATCCAACCTTTGCACCTCATTTTCATTCACTGGTCCCTGACCGGTTGATGACCTGTTATTCCAAGTTATTTTCTTATCTTTGCAAAATATTATATTTGTGAAAGATGGAATTTATGGTATAATAGTTTGCAGAGATAAGAAAATAACTCGGAATAGCAGGTCATCAACCGGTCGGGGACCAATGAATGAAGATGAGATGCAAAGTTTGGATTATTCATGAATAACGAAAAGGTCGGACTATTAAAAGAAGACCGCTAAAAGGTTGGATTATTAATTTCCATTTTCCCTTATTTTAATATACCAAGAGGCCGTTTGACAGCACTGTTTTTCGGCTTATCAGGCTTATCAACCAACTTTTTCACCAAACACGTAACTTTTACTTTCAAGTTTCACACGTTGAGTTGTTAATAAGCAGAAAAAGTAAGATTGGAGTTACTTTTCTGGCTGTTTTGGCTGAAGTTACTGAAGATAACCATTTTAGCTATTTTTACATATAATTTTTTCTTTATTTTATTAATAAAATATATTTTAAAAATAATTGTGTCTTAAATCAGCAGAATCAGCCAATGCAGCCACTTCAGCCAAAACTTTAGAAATTTCAGCAGAATCAGCCAAAGCAACCGATTTTAATGCTACCAAACGGGCTCTAAACTTCATGTCATCAATATTAGCCTTGGCAATGAGATGTTGGGCATTGGAGACATTTTTTTAAGACTACATTCTCAACTCTCAAGCATTGGGGATGCTCTTAAGACCAACCAACAAACAGCGTAAAAAATCACAAGATGTGATAAAATGGAGTAGAAATATTGAATTCAAAGTACTTGATAGAAGTCTATGGATGGACCCGGGCCGGGCCTCGGGTCTGTTTTGTTGGGCCCGAGCCCGAACCGGTGGCCACCGGTTCCGGGTCCGGTTCCGGGCCGGGCCGGGCCGGTCGGGCCACCCGGTCTAATTTTTTTTTTTTCCTTTCTTCCCCCACCCCCCCCCACCCCCCCAAACCCCCCCAAACCGGCCTAAACAGATAGCCCAAGCCCAACAGCCCAAAACAAATGAAAAAAAATTAAAAAAAATAGATTTGGCCCGGACCCGGGCCCGAACTGGCCGGGCCGGGCCGTCAAAACCATGAACCGAGCCCGGAACCGCCCCACCCCCGGGCCTCCGGCCCGAACCGGACCCGGACCCGGATAACTGGGCCGGGCCGGGCCCGCACAGTAGCGGGTCAGGCCGGTCCCGGGCCGGGCGGCCCGAACCGAGGCCATGCCAGGATAGAACTAAAGGTTTAGCCGTATAGCTGGGAAGGTAAATGAGATATCCAGCACAATTTTTTTTTGGGATAATATCCAGCACAATTGTCACTCCATACATCGACGATTTCATCAGAGCGGCACTAGCAGCAGTTTATGCAGCAAGTATACAACATACAAAAGTAGCCTGCAGCATTGGTTTCAAGATTGAATATTTCAAAATTCAATTCAAGATAGTGAATATTTATACTGAAGTGAGGTTTCCACTGTCATCATGTAATAAAATAGAAGATCACACAGCAGCACTTAGTAAACACCACACCGCATCACAAGTGCATAAACACACTGGCACAGCTTCATCCATCCATACTAACTTCCGATCTTCGGCAAATGTGAAATATTCTGCTGCTTGCTTTAAGAGACAGCTAACTAACTACTTGTATGTCTGAGAAGCATTTTGATTCATGAGATAAGGAGAAAACGATCATCATTTTGAATAAAACAGCAAGTGACTAACTATAAGTTCATGTTGGCAGATTAGCTACCAATAGCTCTGGCCTTTCCATTCCAAATTATTTCCCTTCTCTCTTCTGCATCTTACTCTTCTTACTGCTCTCTACACCTCCATCAATTTCTTCCTCTTCTTGGTCTCAACCACCAATGTCTCCCCCTCTACCTTTTTCCTTTTCTTGCCCTTCTTTCTACTATCTCCCTCAACTGAGTTGCTTTCAGTCTTCACATCCTCGACCTCCTTTATCTTTTCCTCAGCCTTCACCTTCTCAGCACTATGACTCATCTTATCCCGGACATCTTCTATTGTGGCAGCAGCAGCAGCAGAGTCAAGGTCTGTTTTAACCAAATCATTGCTTTTGATATCTGAATCGCGGTTCCCTGGCCTCTTCTTCTTACGTTTATGATGATTCATTTCTGGGCATTCCTCGGACTTCACTACTTCTTCTGCCACACTCCTCAAACTTTTCAGCTGGTTCTCATCACGGGGATGATCCTTTCCAACAGGCCCCGAACTATAGAGATTGTGAAACATAGCCAGCTGATTGAATGCATCAGCGGCGCGGCGAACATATACTGATATGGCATCGGAAGCTCCAGTTTCCGAGGCGGCGAAGCTTGATATGATAGTGGCGGCGTCTGAGAGGGAAACCACCCTTGATGAAATTACTCTCCCTGATATTAACTTCATTCTACACCTAACCTAATGATCTCAAAGGTTTGTGGCGCGGCCGGTCCTGAGCAAATGGGGACCCTGTAAAACAAAATGATTTGGATCATCGTTTCCAATACAAACAGAAAAAGAAAATAAATAAAGATGATGATGATAGTAATACATTCCAGATAATGTGTTATAATTAGGCCTGGGACCGGTTCGGTTCTAGTTAAAAATTATTAGAACCGTTTTAAAAAATGTAATTTTTAAAATCGGTTCGGTTCTAATAGAAAAATAGAGGAACCGTTTTAGAACCGAACAAGGTTCAAACGGTTCGGTTCCGGACTTTTTTCGGTTCCTAAAAATAGTGTAATATTTCTAAAAACAACAATTTAATTTTTTTTTAATGAAAAAATTCTTTCATCAATATCAAACTGTCCAGAACTAGAACATCTAGGCAAAAACTATTCATATATAAGATTTAACAAAGGGTTCATCCAAGTGTGAAATGATCCGCTCATTATTATCTGAAAGCTTTTTTAAGGTCTGAATTCTTCAATTTGCTAGAAGCCGATTGCAACAGAGCAAATTACATTCAACCTGTTAGCTCAAAAACTGAAAGCACATTATTAAAACTATCCCAAGAACTAGCTAGAAGCCGATTTATGCTCTCTGCTCAACATAATTCAACCTGTTAGGCTGTTAGCTCAAAAACTGAAAGCACATTATTAAACCTTTCCAGAGAACTGCTCAAAAACTGAAAGCACATTATTCAACATTCAATTTGCTAGAAGCTGATCTATGCTTTCTGCTCAACATAAAGAACCAGCCAAGTCCAGATGTCACAAGAACTGTGACCTTGCCCCAATCAAATTCTAAGCCATTGCACCTGATCTTCAAGAATATCAGCCTACTCCACAGTGCATTTACCATATGTTTTGGCATAGGCTTCATAAAAAACATAAAAATTTATGCTACATAGAAAACATTCTCACCACTTACCACATCCTCACAATGTATGCTACATGTTTTGGCACAGCCTACTCACATTCTCACCACTTAACCACACAATTTAATTTATGCTACAAAAAAAACATTCACAGTTCAAATCATTATAAATACAAATTTTGTCAAACTTAACCATTACACCATACGAACATCCAAAAGTCCAATTGTCCAAACAAAAGTTAATGTTTAAACGAGTCATGAGTGTCTATATATTCTTGATGTCTTTCTCAAAAACATTAAGTGCTTGGACAAATATAATGGTGGACAAATATAGTATTCCAACAAAGTTAGCCTTTTAGAGAGAATGTCCAATTCAAAAACCTGTAAGCAAATAGGATAATCATCCCACTAGATTTAATCTACTCTGCAATGAAAAAAAGTAATAATGAAATACTCCAAAAGAAGAAATTGAAGTAAACCCTATATAAAAATCCACTGAAAAAAATAACTCCAACTAGTTTCTTAGACACCATATTTCAAAGATTAAACCATATTATCATCTCACATAGAGATAATTACTTTAACAACTCATAATAGGAAATAAGGAATAAGGGAAAACCTGGATGATTTGAATACCAAGAGATGGAGCACGATTTAGAGGTTCAATGTCAAAGCTGAGCTAGAAGAGCTCGATTCCTGCAGAGAGTTTCGCCTCGAAGATTCTTGGAGATATGATCGCTGAGTTGCTCGATTCCTGGAGAAGATTTGTCGCTGGATGAGTCGATTCCTGGAGAAGAGTTTCCTATTAGGTTAAAAGTTAAATGTAGAAGTAATTTTCACATCCTTGTTATTTAGTGGGCCGGTCCAGCTTATGTTAAATAAGGCCATCAGGGATTCAGGATATGTATGTAAAGTAATAATACGGTTCTTGTGCAGGAACTCCGGTTTCTACATGGCAGAGGAGTGTTTGGGATTGTTTTAAAAAAAAACGCTTTTTAGATTTTGGTTTAAAAAAAGTTGAAAAGAGTGTTTTCAAATGAAAGTTTCTGCTTAAATTAATCACTTAAAAGCTAAAAGCTAGAAGCAGGTAGGTAGAAGGGTGTTTTAAACTGCTTCTCACTTTTTCTATTACACAAAAAGTACTTATTTTACCAAGCACTACCAACTTTTACATTTTCAGAATCACTTTTTTCTCAAACACTATCAACTTTTACTATTAATCACTTTTCCCAAAATCACTTTAAAAAATCACTTTTTTAAAGTTGAAGCAATTGCAAACACTCCCTAGTAATGGTAAGAACCGGAACCGAACTGTATTAATATTTTAGGAACCGAACCGAAAATTTGACAAGTAAAAAAAAATTAGGAACCGAACCGAACCGGTAAATTCGGTTCGGTTCGGCTCGGTTTTCCCGATTTTCCGGTTCTAAGTCCCTGGCCTAGTTATAATATAAGTTACTAATTACCATTATAGTAAAAAGTAAAAGTATTCATTAATGAAGTACATTTCATTTAAAAAGAGACATTAAATGATATCAAACTTTCAATGTCAATCTATTGGAGTGTTTCAAACTCTATTGATATAAACGTCAATCCACTTAGCGTATTTTCAGTTGATAGACATCTGTAAATTTTAGAGCATCCTCAATGCATTACTTTCTAGTCCAAGTTAAATATGCCAAATGTCAAATAATTAAAAGGGTGTGTAATTTACATAATACAAAGTGGACTAACCGGACATTTAGGTATGAAAAATACGTCCAACGCATGAAGTCTAAGACCCAAATCAAGTGTATATGTGGCTTTTCTTTTATTAATAAAAAATTATTATCCAACTGCTCTGTACGCTAGCTTCTACGCAAATTTGCTCTTTTTCTATTAATTTCCTCATTACTCCATTGAAGTCATTCGAAGAGCAAGTAAAGAGTAGGCAATTTATGTTGTTAGTGGGTTAATCAAATTGAACGTATATACTTCACGTGAAATAAAACTTTATTTAGTTTCTGGATTTTATCATTCCGTACGTGACTCTCAAACCAGCCTTCTTCCCTGATTTGAGAGAACTAGAGTTCTTTGTGATTTGAAAACCTTGAGAATATAAAGATGTCTGGGATCGGAGTTTTCCTGACGGAGAGTTTTTTTGTTTTCCTCTTTTTAATGGAACGAAGCCTTTTAATTCTGAGTCAGCATGTTTTGGAGGCTTTCTTTACTCGCACAAAGGCCTTCACGGCGTTCAATTTTGTTTTTGCCAGGTCAGCAAAATCCTATAAAGACTATGAGCATTGGAGAGGCTAAAAAATAAAAACTCTCTACGTTAATGACATGGCACACTAAATTCAGACTAAACAGCACCGCATTGCGGTTGCTCTTAGCGGCAAATATGTCACTAACGTCACTTGGCAAGCAACAGTTCGGATGTTAGGACTTAGGATTGCACATGACCACGCAAAATGAAGATGAGATTAAAAGCATGGTGTAATTAAAAACAATTTCCTCTAATAATGTAGTGCTAAAAACTCATATGTACACCGATGGCAATGAAGAGAATGAATCATCTCAAGTTATGTGGGTGGTGAGTAAATGATTTTATAGGTAAATATCATTGAAAAATTGAAAGGATGATCTAATAAGCTGAAAAAGATCATTAATACAATAGAGGGCAGAATGTGTCCTAATCCTACTTTTGTCTCATGAATTGTAACATGTGCGTTTTCAGTTACTGATGAAGGCTTTCTTTATTTCTATTTCAACAGGAACTGTTTTTGTTTTCTTGACTTATTTAGATTTATTGATATATGTCTTATATGGATGCAAATGAAAGTATGAAACACGAGCAAAAAAATTTCTACTGTGAATATGCTATCATTAAAGGTACTATTTGTGATTATTAGAAAATAATATTTTGCTTTAATATCTAGGGAAATTTACTAGGATATGACTAAAACTCAATCAGTTTCTCAATTTATGACCTAACTAGTTTTTATACCTTTGTATGACCAAAAATCCAAAAAAAAATAGAAAATTCGTTCATATTTAAATGTTGAATGACGAAAATACCCTTATTTAAAATATGTGGATTTTGCACTAATTTCGTCCAATTAAAATTAATGCACTTTATATTGTCGTTAATGCACCAAATTAATGCATGACTATACTGCACATCCGGCAATAATCACTGCACTCCCCCTAAAATCAATTCTCTTATTATTCAATTGAGGATTGTTTTTTAAAATTTAGTAATTTTATTATTTTATGTCTAATTAAGTATATTGCATTTCATGATGATATCACTACTTTGTGTTAATGCAACACTAGTCATAATCACAGCACAACAAAATTTCTTAATGCATTCGTTCACTGCCATGTACAACATGTTTATTACCATATATATTCATTGTCAATACTCCACACACATTGAAATGTTCAGTGACGGTGTTCAATGCACATATTTAATGCCCACAATCCCTAAATTCAATATATAACCAAATCTAAAAAAATAGAGACGTTGGACAACCGTTTGGCGTTCAAGGCACCGACTAGTGATGTACGTACTCGTTGTGCTCCTTGTTCTCTTCTGCGATTAGTGCAATTTGAAAATCCACAAACCCAATTCGATCTCTCTCTTGTTTCCCTGCAAATATTCTCTTTTGCATCGATCTTGTTTTTCTTTTCTTTCCGTTGTGTAGAATTAACAGATAATTCACATCAAGTCCACAACCTTTCATTTTGATTGACAGAAACATACCTCCCAATTATTCAAAAAGATACTCCGATCCATAATAGCCAAAGCTTCAGACAAACGGTGCAAACTGGAACGTTCGTTTCTGGTTCACAACTTTACTCCCATGTCGGACTTCGGTGGACAGCGGTGCCGCTTGACGCATTTTGGCCGGCGATCGTGCTCCTGGATGGCGGCTGACGGTGGGCCATGGTGTGGCGGCGGCAGGGAATGTGCAGCGGCAGGCAGATGGATCTCTAGAGGTGGGAGAATGGAAACTAGGGTTGGAGAAAAGAGTAGGAGCTTAGGGTTTTATAGATATAACATAAAGGGTATATTTGTCCACCTATATTATTTAATAAATTAATTAGTACGAATTTAATTAAATATTGGTATTATTTTAGTTAAAAAACTAATTAAGTCATAGATTGAGAAACTCATGGAGTTTTAGTCATATCTAGAGTAATTATTTCTAATATCTATTGTTGATTAGAAGCTTTTTTTGTTGATTTCTAAATATTACGGAGTATGCCTTATGTTTTATGCTCTTTTATCCTACGCCCCGAACTTTTTGAACACACTCGGGATTTGACTTCTTTACATAAACAAAATTTTCTATCGAACATTTTTTACTTAGGACAACGTACTTAATATTATCCTCTTTTTGTTTCTCCTATCCAGATTCAACTATTTCTATTACACCTCAAAATTAATTAAGGTTATAAATTTAATTATAACTGAAAATATTTAGCTAACAAAATCAACAAATAATAGTACGTTTATACCAAATCTCAATAGATAACAGTCAAGTAATCATCTGTTAATATATTGTTGGTCCAAACGTTTTTTTGTATATTAATAATGGTTAACACACTTTCTAGCATCCCACTACATTGTACCTATTTATTGTTTCTCTGGTTGGCCATTCATTTTGACTTACCTGGTATTTGGCCTCTTGCTTGCTATCCGCTGCACACTTTTGTCTGGGCATCACCCGTGACTTCCCTACTCGCCAGGCAGACTATTATTTGAAGTCTTCCTTCTTCTCTGTGAGAGATGGGTGCGAGAAGAGAGTTGAGAGCAGTGTGTTCTCCTTCCCTGAGTCCCCCCTTTGTGTGTGAGCATGGTGAGATGAGTGAATCCAGTGAGTGAGTCAAATTATCCATCCTTCTTGGTGAGGTGAGTGTGAGTGTTGGCGAGGTTAGAAAGGTGTGTTGCTCCCTTAGCCTAGGTGTGCACAAGAGACAACCGGAAAACCGAGCTCCAGACTGCCTGAGCCGGAATACGTCGACGGAATCGATCCTCAACATCATCAATTAAGAATATGACCAATCAAATAATAATAAAATCAATCAATCAATTATTAAACTAATCATATATTTATATCAATCAATTATAGAAAAAGTAAATTAAAAAAACAATTAAGCAAGCCAGTAAGAAATAAGGAAGAAGGGTAACTACTTATTACTGGTTAAGAGGCCGGACTGTGGGAGGTCGTAGGACTGAGGGCGGAAGGAGTACGGATTCGGGAGCACCTGAAGCCTGAGTAGGGCGAGCCGACGAGATAGTGGCCGGAGCTCGACCTGGTCGCAGGACGGTCTGGGCGTAGGGCCGATTTCCGACTTCCGAGAAGAGAGAGCTGGCGAGAAGAGGCGGTCGTCTGTAAAAACGGGAGTGCTGCTAAAGTCTCCGAGTCTGTTACCTGTATTTTATTTAGGGAAAAGGGGCAAAAAAAACCCTGAAGTTGTCATCAAAGGACATCTATACCCTTAAATTTTATTTTTGTGCAAAAAGCTTTAAAATGTGGGAAAGGAGGGCAATTACCCTCTTTGTTTAACGGTGAACATGCATTTGTTTAACGGTGGACCATGCAACATAAAGTTGCTCCTTTGGCTAGCGTTTACTATGTACGGAGTATAACAAATCAAATAGGAATAGTGCTTTTTCATAAGCATCTATGAAGAAATTAATGATTACAATGACGAATCACTTACTAATTGACTCATTAATAACGGAGTGCTCGCTTGGTGATCCCGTTTTCGGCTTATCAGCCAACTTTTTTATCAAATACGTAATTTTTAGTTTCGCGCAATGAATTGTGTAATAATAAGAAAAGATGAGGTAGAAGTTACTTTTCCGGCTATATTGGTTGA